AAGTAGGTGCTTTAGACCACTGAGCCATCTCTCCAGCCCCATAAATTCTTTTTAAATAATAAAGAACAACAGAAAGAACTAGAAACACTCAGTCTGAAAAATCCTCAAATAAATGGTCTTCATAGTCTACAAAATAATTTCTTGTGCACTGTAAGAAAATGCTATCTATTGTTTTTATTTATGTATTTATTTTATTTTGCAAGAATGGAGATCTAACCTGGGATCTTAAGCATACAAACCTAGGGCCTTGCATGTACTAGGCAACCACTCTACCAATGAGCTGCTTATTCAGCTGAGCTATTATTTTGTATTTAAATAGAGTCTGTGAATATTGGTGCACACACACAATTTGTGTCAAAGATAAAACCAGTCATTAAATTAAAGGATGGTAAACAGCTGCCAGTGGTAGGACTTAGTTCATCCCTTCCACCACGTGAGAAAGAAATGATTTTATTTTGAGGTCTCACTGTTATACTAGTGTAGATTATGATTTGATTAGGCTTACAGAGTTGCTGAAATGCCCAAAATATTCAGGTGCAATCCTTCCAGCAACAAGGTTTAGAGTGTCTAGCTGTTTCATAAAATTTGTTTCTGCTTTGTTTTGTTTTGCTTTTAGACATTAAACGTAATGTTGGAAATAAATGGAATAAAGCAAATAGATATTTGGCATGGCTAGGACTTCAGCTATTGTTTTGCTTTTATGTTATAGTTGGATATATAATTAAGGCTTCTTGAGAGGTGCCCTTTTTTGAACTCATAAAAGAATCAAAACACTCCCACATATGGCTGTGCTAACATATGGCCTCCGTAATGACTGCGCAAGCAAGACATCTACTCATCTGAAATTTTAGCATGCAATTTCTGTATCAGGTGGGAACCAACAAGCAAAAGCTTTGCTGTCTTTCCCCTGTCGCTGGGAAGAAGTAAGGATCCCCTAGGAAACCCTTTATTGAGAGCCTGAGAGTCAACAGTAATCCTCCAGTTCCTTTCCTGGCCCTAGTTCAGGTGCTACCAGTTCTTTTCCTGACCTTTCTCTCTACAAGATTCTTGCCTCAGAGAGAAAGCGCTGTGCACGGGCAGAGTGGGAGGAGGGAACTGCCTAGACGCAGCCGTCCTTACAGAGGAAGTGCAGAGCTTCTGCCCCCTTGAAGTACCAGGAAGGATGTGACAGAACCAGGCAGGGTCACGCCCCAGCTCGAATGACCCACGCGCCATCCTAGGGAAGCCAAGGTTTCATTTTATTTAGGTCACAGAAGACACATCAGCAGGTCAGGAGCAGTTCCCTGAGGTTATGTCACCAGTCACAGAAGACAAGTCAGCAAGCCTGAAGCCTGCCATTTCTCTGACCCAACCCCTCAAAAACCTGCCAAACAAACCAAAAGAAACCAAACCAACAACCAAAAAACCACTATGAGAAAACACTGTTAGCCCGTAAGAGGTACGCTCTCTACTCTGCTAAGACAGAGGTCTCTTTCAGATTGAGCAATAAGCGCACCTGGACTGTTGCTTCGCGGTCCTCCTTCCCACTCAGGATGAGCTTGCAGAAGTCCGGAAGTCCATTGTTGAGGTGCGTGCTGCACACTGACTGCACAATCTGATGCAATCTGAAAGCTATTCATTTTGATCCACATTCCTTACGTCACAAAAAGTACGTTTAATTGCAGAAGAGTTAGTAAATTATAGTATTTACCCAGAGTGGAGAGGATTGTGCACTAGGGTTTTCTCTAAAAAAAAAGAATTTCAGAAGGGAGACTGAATCATTTCTGAATGCTAGGTTAAGTGTGTTTTCCAGTGGATCATTTTATTTCCAACCTTGAGTGTCTTAAGAATCTTACCACCTCACGTATTTCAACATTAGTCGAGACTCCGTAGAAGACTTATACAGGAGCTTGCTTCTTTCACAACTTCAGAAGCCTTATGGGATCTAGTAGTGAGACTCTGAACACCCTGGGTCAAAGGAATGGGGTAGTATTGGTGGTATCTGATGAAAGTGCCTTTACTCACCTCAGTCTGTTGTCTACCAAGCCCACAGGCAGCATCCTTATCAGCTACTGGCCCTGCTCCAGTCTCCCTTTCTGCCATCTTTGAGGCCATCTGCTGACTTCTCAACACCAACCCCTACCATCCCGCCAAGCTCAGGTTGGCCTTGATACCTGAAAAACCCATGAACCACCTCCCTCATGTCCATTGACCTAGAAGAGATCCTTCCCATCCTTCTGAGGGTGAAGTCTCCCCAAACTTTCGTCATGTTTGCCAGGCGAAACTAACTCCTGTCTCAATAGGCCTTTGCTAGTTGAGTGGTACCTCTTTCAAGCCACACCACAGGCCTTGCCACAGATGCCTGTGCGCTTATTCTGTGTGTTGTTCCTCCTAGCACCCACCCAGCAGAGCAGAGGATCTCATTGGGCTTCCTGGTTCCTTATTAGAACAACCTATTAAGCTTGTTTTGTATAAAAACAAGTAACTACTTTTAGTTTAACTATATCCCAACTATTACATAGAACATATTCACCCTAATTTTTTTCATTATTTATCTGAAATTCACATTTAACTGAGTATCTTGTATATTTATTTGCTAAATCTGTCAACTCTAGGCCTTATTTATCTCTGATCTTTTAGGGTCATTATTTGTGAAGGGGGTATGGTTCTTGCCTACCTGAAGAAAAGCAATGGTGCTATTCTAGAACAATACAGTGGAGCCAGAGACCAAGTGGACCAACTTCAATGGACTCAACACTTCTAGCCTAGGTCCACAGGCCCTGAGAGTAGGAATGGAGCATGTAAGCCTAGCACCCAGCCAAGACTGGCACTGGGCATCAGAAATTCCATTGATAATGACACCAGAGTCTTCAGTAACATTCTAGATACTAATCCATGTCTTTTGTTAACTAATCCCGATGGATTCAAGCCATGTGTTTCTTCATAGAGCTTTTTTATGAGCACAGCAGCTATGATCCAAACATTATTAGAAGAACTTCTGTGAAGCCAGGAGAAATGCATTTTATACCTCATGCATTGATTTTTGATGTTTTGATTATAAATTCCCCCTAGATTTTGCATTCTGGCTATGAGAATGCTTTGTAAATTATTTTATAAACAGTTTTTCTATACTGACTATGTATTTGCAATTGGTTTTGGTGGACATTTAGAGGAGCAAACACACATGAGTGGGCTTTTATTAACTTTCTGAGACTGTCATAATAGAGATTACTACAAACTTGGTGATTGAAGCAACAGAAATTTATTCACGCAATTTTGGAGCTCAGAAGTCTGAAATCCTGAGGCCAGTATCTCCTGAGGGAGTGCTCTGGGGGAGAATCATCCTTCCGCCTCTGGCTCCCTGGTTGCCTCTCACTGTCCTCACCTCACCGTGGCCTCTGTGTCCATGCTTTTCCCTGGTAGATCTTGCTTGTAAGGACATGAATAGTGGCATTTCAAGCTCAACCTCATAATCTAGTGTTACTGCCTCTTTGTACCATCTTTAATCACTTCTGCAAAGATTCTTTTTCCAAACAGATAGCATTTACAAATTCCAGGTGTTAGGACTTGGTATCTTTCAGTGACTGCCAATCAGTCTACTACAGTGTCATATGGCTTCATCTCTTTCTCTCATATTGAAGTTAAATTTTTTTAGAAAAGGCAAGCTTCACAGATCTAAATATGAAAGGATGAAAATGCACTAGAAAAGTTCATTGAGGGAAGGAGTAGAAAATAGGAATTCTAGGGGCTGGCCAAATAGCTCAGCAGATTAAAGCACCTGCAAGCAGGCTTGCAGGGATTGGAGGTTCGATGCCCGGGCCTGCCATGCTGGCCCTGCCCCTGGGATGCACTGAGACAGCAATTGAGACCGGGCGTGGTGGTGTACTCCTGTAATCACAGCTGTTGGGAGGCTGTAAACTGGCAGATCACTACGAGTCCAATCTATGATTTTGTTTTGGTTTCTTTTGCAAAACCTGTGATTGAACTCAGGAGGCCATTGCATTTGCCAGGGAAGCACTTATTCTACTGAGCCATCTCCCTGGCCCACTATGAGTCCAATCTAGTAGTGAGACCCTGAGTACCCTGTAGATCCTTCCCTAAAAATAAAAATAAAAAATTTTTAAAAAGTAGGAGCTCTTTTTCAGTCAATAGGGACAGGCCAATATCAATTTAGAGATTAAATTCCTGTTAGAGTAACACATCTCTGTTTCCACACCACGGCTCACACATTCCATATCGGCTGGTTTATTAGATTTTTTTTCAAATCATCATACAAAGCACTTGAAGACTTTAAATTGTCTCATCCATTCGTTTTTATCCTATCATTTTATTTGAAAGTGAACATTGGGTTTTGAAACATATAAAGGGGAGCTGGGGAGATGGCTCAGTGGAAAAAGCGCTTCCTTGGGAAATGCAAGGAACTGATTTCAATCCCCAGTTCCACCAAAAAAAAAAAAAAAAAAATCACTCACCACTGAAACATATAAGGAAAAAAAAAGAAAAGAAACATATAAGGAAGATAAATCCTCATGTCAAGCTTACTGAAAATAAGAACAAAATGCTATATGTTTTCCTTTAAAAGGTCCAAAAGTGGCTAATATTTGCCAAATTCTCTTAAATTCCAAAAATAAATAAATAAATAAATTTATTTTGTTTGCCTGTGTTTTGCAGTAGTAGAGGTTGAACCCAGAGCCTTTGCACTGAGCTACATCCCCAGGCCTTTTTATTTTGAGATGAGGTCTCGCTAAGTCTCTGAGTTGCCCCAGGCTAGGCTTCAGCTTGTGATCATCTCCGAGTGCTGGAACTGCAGCCCTGAGCTTCCATGCCCGGCCAATAAAGTCCAATCTAAAGTCAGTGAGATCCCTGCTCTGTGCACTCTCACGTCTCAGCTCAGCACGCTGGAGCCGGTTCTCGGTCCTAGGAGAAGCCATGCAACCCTTGAGTTCTGGTGTTAGCCTTCTGAGTGAGAAAGACTGATTACATTTCAAATGATAGTTTTAAAAATTTCATAACATAAAAAGTATCATCTTAGCCATTTCTAAATGTAAGAGAGAGAGAGAGAGAGAGAGAGAGAGAGAGAGAGAGAGAGAGAATGACAGATAGATCAGTAACATTAAGCATATTGACACTGGTACACAACAGATGTCTAAACTTCTTCCATCTTGTAAAACTGAAAGGTTGTGCCCATTTAAACACCTTCCCTCAAGGGCTGGCCAGATAGCTCAGTGGACTAAAGAGCCTGCTTAGGCAGAGCACGGCGGACAAGGTTTGATCCCCAGTATGCTGTGCCAACTCCGCCTGCTGGGCACACTGAGACTGATTGAGACTGGTTGTGGTGGCGCATACCTGTAATCCCAGTGCCTGGGAGGCTGAAAAGAGGAGAATCACTATGAGTCCAGTCTACATGGTGAGATCCTGTAGACCCTGTCCTAAAAATAATAATTAATAACTAAATAAATACCTCCCCCTTCTCCCTGACCCTGGCACCTGGCAACCATTGTTCTATTTCCTGTCTCTAAGAATTTGACTATTCTAGACATTTCAGATAAATGGGGGTCATTCAGTAGTCACCTTTTAGTGTCTGGCTTATTTCATTTCACATCATATCCCTGAGGTCCATCTATGGAGGGGCAGATGTCAGAAGTCCTTTCCTTGGGGCTGGAAAGACAGCTCAGCAGAATAAGTGCTTGCCTGACAAGTGCAGGGTCTTCAGTTCAACCCCCGTACCCCCCCAAAAAAAGAGGTCCTTTCCTTTATAAGGATGAATAGTATTTCATTGTACATATATACTACATTGTTTTATTCACTCATCAATAGATATTTGAATTGCTTCTACGTCTTGACTATTGTGAATAATCTCTAGTGAACATGGCCATTCAAATACTTCTTTGAGATTTTGCTTTTAACCTTTTCAACATATAGTTGTCTTCAATATCTCTGGGGAACTGGTTCTAAGACACCCATGGATAACAAAATTCACAGATGTTCAAGTACTTCATACAAAAATAGCAAATTATTTGCATAGGAGCTATGTACATCCTTCTGTACAATTT